TCCCCCCTCCACCCACCCGCCCTCCTCCCTCCCTCTGACATTCGTTAGTCTCATCTATGCTTCCATGTCATTGAATTTATTCTGTTCATCAGTTTATTAAGTTCTTTAGATTCCACGTATAAGTGAGATCATGTGATATTTGTCTTTCGCTGCCTGGCTAATTTCACTTAGCATAATATTCTCCAGGTCCGTCCATACTGTCCCAAGGGGTACAAGATTCTTCTTTTTTACAGCTGCATAGTATTCCATGGTGTAAATGTCCCACAGCTTTTGTGTCCACTCATCTACTGATGGGCACTTGGGCTGTTTCCAGATCTTAGCTATTGTAAACTGTGCTGCTATGAACATCGGGGTGCATATATCCTTTCTGATGAATGTTTCAGTATTTTTAGGATACATTCCTAGGAGTGGAATCACTGGGTCGAACGGCAGCTCCATTTTTAATTTTTTGAGGAACCTCCATACTGTTTTCCATAGTGGCTGCCCCAGTCTGCATTCCCACCAGCAGTGTACCAGGATTCCCCTTTCTCCACACCCTCGCCAGCACATGTCCTTTGTTGATTTGTTGATTGCAGCCATTCTGGCAGGTGTGAAGTGACACCTCATTGTGGTTTTAATTTGCATCTCTCTGATGATTAGCGACGTCGAGCATTTTCTCATGTGTCTCTTGGCCATCCGTATGTCCTCTTTGGAGAAGTGTCTATTTAAGTCCTTTGCCCATTTCTTAATTGGGTTGTTTGTCTTTCTCTTGCTGAGTGCTATGAGTTCTTTGGACACTTTGGAAATTAGCCCCTTATCAGATTCATCCTTGGCAAATATGTTTTCCCAGACCGTGGGGTTCCTTTGTAAAGTCACGGACATCCCACGTAGTGGGCTTTTCACTGATACATCTCCTAGGGCAAGAGAAACAAAGGAAAAAATAAACATATGGGACTACATCAAACTAAAAAGCTTCTGCACATCATATATGCTTATTTTTTTTTAAAGAACAATTATTAATCTTAATGTACCTGTGACTGGAGGATATAACAAAACATAGAAGAGCAACATGGAAAAATATTAGGTCTCTACTAATCTTGTTGACTTTAATTTTGCCTCTTTACAGCCCATGAATTATTATAAGCAAGAAAACTTCTAGTTAATATTAGATCAAGCGAGTCAAGGTGGATGTAAAACTCTAGAATCTACTCTGATTTAAAGAGACTTATTGAAACAATAAAAAATTGTAACTCAGAAGTTCTCAAATATATGTTTGGACTTACACCCAAAACTTGAACTTCCTTTGTGGCTTCTCTTTCTTTCCTCCAGGACCTCATCCAGTAGCTCTTTTCAGAGCACCTTCAGTGCATCTAGGATACATATTAGGTCCATAGTTCTTTGGTTTCTTTCATTTTCATTACATTATAATATGGGGAGGGAGAAATTGTTTTAATATATCTCACTAGTGAAAGTTGACATGCCTGTTTTTCTCTTTTATTTTTGTTCTTTTTCTCATTAAAAACCTATATTTTCTTACATTATTGTTACCAATATTCATTTGTTTGGAAATAACAGATTTCTTTTTCATTTTGATTTACTCCAACTCAATATAAACGTCTTCATTGACCTTATAATGATGTGTGAATAATCTATGCCAACCTCATGTGTGAAATTGGAAACAATTTTAGTTCAGACATTTGAAGGGTAAGATTTTGTAAAGACCTGGCTCTTGACGTATATGATGAAGAAATATTATTATCCAAGTTAATTGTTTGTAAATCTGTGTTTCTTTTCTACAGGAAAGAATGTTTAAATTTCATCAAGTGAAACATATTTTTGAAATACTGAATAAAATGAGATGCCTGCGAAAACGTTCTACAGTGTCATTCTTGGGAGTTCTTGTAATTTTCCTTCTATTTATGAACTTGTACATTGAAGACAGCCATGTTCTGGTAAGTTTTGGAGATTGATTTTTGTTGTTATTTAAAATAAGGCCTGGGGAATATTATGCTAAGTGAAATAAGCCAAGCAGAGAAAGACAAACATCACATGATCTCACTCATATGTGGAATCTAAAGAACTTAATAAACTGATGAACAGAATAGATTCAATGACATGGAAGCATAGATGAGACTGACGAATGTCAGAGGGATGGAGGAGGGTGGGTGGGTGGAGGGGGAGAGAGTAACCAAAGAATTTATGTGCATGTATGCACAACCCAAGGACACGGACAATGGTGGGGAGAGGGACTGGGGAGGGGGATAGGATGGGGTGGAATGGGTCATTGGGGAGAAAAAGAGACATCTGTAAAATTTTAATCAAACAAACAAAAAATTAAAATAAGGCCTAAATCACAGGAGACTTATTTCATTAGTAACCTAACTTCAAGTATAGGCTGTTAAAATAGCCTTAGTTTGAGCAAAATTATAACATATATATTATCTACTTAAATTTTGTATTAATTTTATATTATGAACTTCACTATTGTTTTAATTTATGTTGCAGTGTTTTCTTTAATGATCTATATATTGTGGTTCAAATATATATGCCTAATTACAAATAAGTTAATTATTATCACAGTGCTGTATTAATCTTATGTAAAACCATTTCAATATTTGAGATTTAATTTGAAATGTATAGACTTTCTCCATTTTTCTGTATTATAAACATTTATAAAATTTCATTGTATAACTAATGATATTAGCTGTGCTAGTTTGTTAAGAAGTCATATTTTATTAAAATATGTGACACCTCATTTAGATTTTGAAAAGCCCTAAAAAGCCAGTGTTTTATATATATATATATACTAAAAAGTAACATAGAACCTCAAAACCTGAATATATTGATGTTAAAATATTCAGTAATTTATAAAAGACAAATTAGTAGATAATATATGAATTAATTTTTAAGTGAATTATGGAAATATTCAAAGGGACTTATTCCAGCTAATTGTGAGAACTTAAATTGTTTCAACAATTTATCATTGTTGGAATTATCACATCATTTCATGTGTGATGAGAATGACATGGACATTATTTATTATTCGCTTTTCTATCTGAGCTGAGCTTAAGATATCTGGAAAAATCTTAATATTTATGTTATTATTCCTGTTCACATATTTCAGAAAATCAAATCCTTTGGACATACAGAAGACTGAAAAGTACTTTCCATCATGCAAACATGCTGGAAGTTTGAATTAATACCTTAGCAAGAGATAACATGAAATAATCATAAGGAGCATTTCCCAATAAAATGTTTTATTTCATTAATTAAAGATGATTTATTAACTACCTACTATTTCCCAGATACTATTCTATATTCTATGAGGCAACCATATGACCTTGGTACAGGTCTTCTTAGAAGGTCTATTGTAAAACACTTTGCTTCTTTTAGTATTTTTTTAATGGTGAAATTCTGCCAGATTCCTACATCTTGACTCTCCTAGGCCTTTTACCTTCAAATATAGGTCTTGATTTTGTGGATCCTTTATTCTACCATTCACAGTCAATTTGCAATGTCGAAAATCAAAACAGACTAACACAATTTGACTAAGCATGATTTGATAAACAGAGCACTGGAGAAACTTACTAAGGATAATTATTTTGGATTTTTTTTAACCTGATTGTTAAGTTTATGAGGACAATAGAGCAAGGCTCATGTGATTGAACAATTTTTTTTTATATATAAAATTAAAGATCATAAATTAACTAGAGGAGTTCTTCATAAATGATTTAATTCTTCAATAAAACTATTTCTTGCCCGGCCGGGCGTGGCTCAGCAGTTGAGCATCGACCTAGGATCCAGGCGATCGGGGTTCGATTCCCGGTCAGGGCACATGCCCGGGTTGCAGGCTCGATCTCTGGTCGGGAGCGTGCAGGAGGCAGCCGATCAATGACTCTTTCATCATTGATGTTTCTATCTCTCTCTCTCTCCCTCTCCCTTCCTCTCTCTGAAATCAATAAAGATATATTTAAAAAACAACACTGTATTTCTTGCAACTGTGTCTACTGGTAGAAAGAAATCACATCTTGTAAATCAAGCACATGGTATCTTCAGGATGCTTGTATTCAATGGTTTGCTGCATTTACGAGACACTTTCAAGTACAATTTTAATATTTCACTTTAAGCAAAAAAGATCTTTGTATACAGCAAACATCTTTATATCTTTTTGGCGTAAAACCTCTTTAAATTCATTATAAAATGTGTAAGGAGTAATAGACTATATATCCATAAAAAATCAAATACTACAGCCCTGTTTTGTAAATTTTCACATATTCATATCTAAGCATAGGTCCTAGCCACCTAATATAAAAGGCATGATTTAATGGCATAGCTCTTACAGAAGAGTACTTTCACCATGACCTTTTTTCTGGCTATATTAACCATATAGCTATATTGGCAAATTTTCAAATTAGCTTAGGTACAGAGAAGAAATTACTTTTTATCTTTAAAAGTCAAAATTATTTTTAACTATATTAACTTTGAAAAAGTGAGTTCAAATTATTTTTTAAGTACAAGAACTCCCATTACTGAAAATTCAGTGAAAGTGTTTTTATGAGTTTAATTTTTCACTATTTACTAGGTGATATTCTTTACCTAATTTGTATTTTGAGCTAAATTTTATCCCAACACTTAATATGTGTAAATATTTAAATCATAAATGTAAAATTATAGTAAAATTTGTATTCTAATAATGTTTAATATCCTTGGAAAATTGATCCCCTGCTAGAATATAATGAAGTTTCTTTTTAACATAACAGGTTTCCCTTTTGACCCTTTTATCTGTGTTTATTTCATTTTCATAAAATTATCTGACTTGATTTTCTTTCTTTACTCTAAAATGCCACAATGTGTGTGATTTTCTAAGCTTAGACATTAGTTAATGTTCTTTTTCTGTCTTATTTCATGGAAAATAAGTTATAATTCAAAATAATCAGATGGACAATTAAAAGTAGTAAGATCTCTGAAGTTACTTAGCAAATCATATTCTTCTCTCTTTGCTAGAAAATGCATTGGTGACCTGAAATCCTGGGCATATAACAGTTTAGTGTTTTGCTTACATATTAGGACATATGTGCCTATCAGTGGGAAAGGAAGCCAAGCTCGATATAAGAGACAAATAGCATTACAAGGCAAACTAAGTAGGAGAGAGACTGCATCCCCAATCAACCTAGCTTCTGGGCTGTGAGCATCTTCAAAGTAGCCATGGGGGTATATATTTAGCCTGTAGCTAGTCCATTGAATTTCATTCCCATCCAGAAAATGATTGTCATAAAGCTTTGTCTTATTACTGAGAAATATACTATAATGCAGTAGCTACAGAAAGAAGGCATCCAGGGAGAGTCTGGCTGTTCAGGTATATGCCTCTGGAAAGCAGCCAACAAGGCTGACTCAGGTGAAAGTTGCATTATTTATTTATGCGGAAAAGTATAAAGCTTATTCTTAAGAATTTAATAAAGTCATTTTATATATGTTCCATTTTATTTTCTATTCTGTTATGTCCTTCAATCAGGATGAATTTATTCTAACTTATCACAGAAAAATCTGAATTTTAACATGTTGAAAATAGAAATCTTAAAGTGATAATCAGTATCCTGCACTTCATTTAGAATGTGACATCACCTAAGAATAGAATGGTAAAATGAATTTAGTATTGTGACTACTGCAGGTTTTATAGCTATATCTTCTAGATCCTATTGATTATGGACATCATAATCAATATTAAAGTAATTAATGCTAAACTGAGTCCCAGTTACTTTTTGGCAATCCTAAATTTGTTCATCTAAAAAATTTAATGATGTTTTATAGGTTTTCAGAAAGACAAAGATGAAAATATTTATATGTACAGAATTTAAGGCAATCAGATTCAATGGACGTTTAATTAGAATGTTTATAAGAAATCTAGCATCCAAGATTTAATTTCATATATTTTGAAAGTCTGTAACTTGTGATGGCAAATACATTATAAGTCTTGTAAAATACTGAAGTATTTTTCTTTGTCCAAATTATGAAGACAATGTAAAATATAGAAATACAGTATTAAACACCAAATATAGGTTCATAAACAGAAATTAATATATAGAAAAGATAAACAGAATGGATCTTGATTTAGCAAGCACCAGATTGAAAGTTCTTCCCTGTTTTGGTTTATAATTCTCAATTCTAATTTTAAACAAATTCCAGTCTGGCCATAGATTTAAAAGTTTTTCACTGACATTTTAATTTGACACAAAGTAGTAAATGTTTGAGATAATATTTGTATTTTAATTCTTATTAACCTTTTAGAACAAGGTTTTAATGAAAATTTTATTGACCACAGTCAAATAATATGAGAACCAAATTTATTTAATACATTTGTTTTCTCTTTAATGGCTTGCACATACCTAACCTGCCATTGTACCTTGAATAGTTGAAATAGAGCAACCACACAGTATAGTAGATATCTTGCAAAAAAAAATTCTAATTAGGTTGCCCCCAAACATATTCTATGTGTAGTAAACCATATACAAAAGCCAAGCAAGTTGTCATTTTGCTGATAATGTATAACCAATAGAGTCTTGATCAAATGGTAATTAGATCATTGAAATATACAATTGAACTCATATCAAAGAAGAGAGAAAAAAAGGAAGCTATTAATAGTTAACAGTTAATATTTAGCCAAATATGAGTATATTTTCTTGAATGTAAACCTTCCCAAAGGTTGAATGGCATAAGTCCATTACCAAATGGATCTCAAATTTAAAGGATCAGACTTTTCACCTCCAACAGAATACACGCCCCACACACATACCCACAGATACACACACAAGCAACAAACATATCATGGAAATGACTAATGCAAGAGCTGAAGACAGTTCCTTGACTTGGTACAAATGTGTTCTAATTGAGGTATCTCAAAGACATTTTAATAAAACACTGCCATGTCACAGTAGGCATTCTCAATAGCCTTCAATTACAGTGGCCAAATAAGCTCTTTACTAATTCTTGATTAATAAATTATCCAAAATCCAACTATTCTATCTAGCGCTGCATCTTCCGTATTACACTTAAATTTCCCAATCAGAAGTAACATATGCTCTTTTATGAGGCAGTGCTTGAAAAAGAGCAAATAGCTTAATATGACTCAAATATGGGGAATTTAGTGGCAATTGGTTTTACATGAAACTGTAAAACAGATTAAAGTTAAATTTTAAGATCCTGTGATTATTGTAAAGAATTTGAATTTTAGCATGAAGACAGTTTCCATGTAATATTTTTTCAAGATAATGCCATTATTAATGTATGCTACAGAAAAGCAAATGTAGCTATAGTATAAAGAGTAGAATAGAGCAGAGAGAGCCTGGAGCAGAGACTCTAGGTAGGAATCCAGGTGAAAAATAATGATGTACAGTGGTGCCAGTAATTGAGGTTTATACGATATGCATATTATATATCAGGAGAAATTTATTTAATCCATGACTAACTATTATTCATTTATTTTCTCTGCCTCTTTCTCGCCATTCAGGAAGGAGATAAACAACTTATAAGGGAAACATCCACACATCAACTGAATTCAGAACGCTATGTGCATACTTTCAAAGATTTATCTAATTTCTCAGGAGCCATCAATGTCACCTATCGCTACTTAGCTTCCACTCCTTTGCAAAGAAAGCGTAAGTATTCTTACACTTTTAAATCAAGAATACATAAAATATATTGTTTAAAACTAATGATTTGCTTCATTTGTACAGCGATAAAAGTTTATTGTGTTTACTAATAGATTATATTTTGGGGAAATAGTTCAATGTTTCCTGACAAATTATAATTACTCGCTGATCCAATTCTATTAATAAAAAAATTTAAGTGCCTTCCTGTAGTATAAAAATTTGACAGTTTGCTATAGGACTGTGTAGAAAGACTAGAAAAAATCAATTTATTTTATTTTACTTATTTATTTTTTTATTTACACATTTAAATTTTTATTGTTATCATTTAGTTTTTTATTGAATTTATTGGGGTGGCATTGGTTCACAAAATCATACAGATTTCAAGGGTGCAACTAAACAAAACATCACCTGCACACTGCATTGTGTACCCATAGCCCCAAGCAAAGTCTTTATTTTCAATTATTAAAAGTATCTTTTAAAAATAACTAGTCCCATATTGATATATTTTCCAACTTTAATGGTTTGGTTTTTGTAACTTGCCACCAGTTTTGAATTAGTGAAAGTCATTTTACCTGTTTTCTAAGGTACTATAACTAATGATCACAAACTAGATGGTTTAAAAAAACAAAAATGTATTCTCTCACAATTCTGGAGGCCAGGAGTCTGAAATCAAGAGGCTGGCAGTGCCACACTCTAGGGGAGTTCTAGGGGAGAACCTTTGCTTCTTCCAGCTTCTGATCACTCTTGGCTTTTTTTGGTTTGTGGTAACATCCCAATCCCTACCTTGATCTTTCCAAAGCCTTCTTCCCTTTGTCTCTGTGTCTCTCTCTATCCTCTGCTCTTCCATCTAATTACAGTACCACTAAGCAAATAGGTGTTTATCAGATTTAATTGTAAGATGCCATGAGTTGTAATATGCAACCTGATTTTAAAGTATTTATGAAAAATACAAATTTTAGAATCAATGAAATACAGTGGTATCATGAACTTCTTAAGAGATTGTTAGAGGTCACAAAAAATGACTTCCCTCTTAAGAGGTGTTTACTCAAGTGAATTTGGAATCACCAGATTGAGGAAATGGTAATTTAGATTTCTTTAGGCCTTTGTTCATTCTACCATTTCAAATGCCTACTGCTCTTTTTTT